TTTTCAATACCTAGCTTCAGAAGTATTGCTATAAATTGATTCTTTTGATGTAATGTCATTTTCTTTAAATTAAAAAAGAAAGTGTGTGTTTGTATGTGTGTGTCTGCTTACGTGTGTGTTTCCTTGTGTGTATACCATATGTTCGCAATGCTCATGGAGGCCAGAAGAGGACATCAGATCCCCTGGAACTGGAGTGACACACCCGAGTAGCTAGGCGGGTGCTGTGAACTGAACCGTGTTCCTCTGCAAGAGTGTTTTTAACCTCCAGTCCATCTCTGTGGCCCCCGATGTCATTTTCTTTGACCTCTCTGGGAAGAAACTCAATTCTTTGGCACCTTGAGTCCGGTGAGATTTGCGTAGGTCTTAAAGCTCCACACAGAAATCCTGCAAGCCTCCAGACTCGCCCGCCCTGTCACTGTGCTGCACTGTTAACTTCTGATACTTCCGTCGCTGATGACAGCGAACAAATTTCTGGCTGACACGCTAGTTATGATTTGAAAGCATGGAGGAGTAAAAGGTCTTGAAATCTGTCCTGGTTCCAAATCTGCCAGGACTAAGCATCCTGTTTTCTCCTTCAATATGTTAAATGCGGAGATTGTTTTCGAGGCGAAGCAAACATGGTGGGAATGGCGAATTACAAAGCTTGTAATCCGCAACTTTTTAGTTTCAAGATCACCTAGCTTCTGATGTTAAGCAGGGCTATGGTGGAACCCTTGAAGCTGAATTTGGACGACACATCAAAAATCTCTCATATGTGGAAGAGAACACCAATCGATTTAAATGCCTTTCCTTAATGCTTCCTGATGACCACGCTGTGCCGTAGTCAACATTAACGGTCAGATGAATGGGCCAAGCCTCCTACATTCAGCAATTCATTACTTAAAACTACTGGTCTCACCTGTCTGGTGTAAGAGGTCTTTGTCTGTTTTGTACTTCTGTAACAGAATACATGGGGCAGGATAATTTATCGGTGGGTATTGATTTTTAGTGGTTCTGGAGGGCTGGGAAGGGAAGTTCAAGATCGAGGCAGGCAGTGGTAGATTTAGTGTCTTGTAGAGACAAAGGCTCTGCTTCTGATAGCACCTTGTATTCTACTCGCTCCCAAGAGGCAGAACACTTGCTGGCAATGACAAGAGTAGAGGGGAGAGGGAGGAGGAAAGGAGGAAGGGAGGGAGGAAGGGAGGGAGGGAGGGAGAGAGAGAGAGAGAGAGAGAGAGAGAGAGAGAGAGAGAGAGAGAGAGAGGAGCTGAGTTTATTCCTGGATAGCGGCATTCATCCCTCATGCACAGGCAGAGGAACACGGGACTTTCATGAACTCTTAAAGCCCCACCTCACTGATCCCTTAACCAGGCAATAAAAGCTCAGCATGAATTTTGGAGGGTTGGATGACAAACCACAGTGCAGGTAAGTTAATGAAGCTGGATTCAGTGTGGCATTGGCGAGGGACCTTACATATCAGTTAACTCTCAAGTACCATGCTTTATAGTTGAGGGAAGAGAGTCCCGAGAAGTTACAATCTTCTTTAAAATCACCAAGTGAAGGTTAGTCTCCTAAGGTTTCATCTGACCCATTGTCCTCCGGACCCAGCGGTGTCTCTGGTAGGACACATTCTTCATTTGCTCAGATTTTATCCGTTTCCCAAGGTTATTATAATTACTGTAGGAAGCTGGCTAATGTTGTGTCTTCCTGTGGCGTACTTCTGTGTGTCTTCCCATGGCTGGCCTGGGCAGGCACAGAATGAGTGCGGCAGAAGTACTTGTGGAGAGGATGAGGTCCGTGTGCACTTACACTGCACCCTGTTTTCTTTCACAGTTTTCAGCCTCATGGTCTGGCTGGAGTAACTAAGCTTTTATGAATGAGACAATTTCTTTCTCAGTCACCCAAAGTCATAAGAGAGAGAAGGAAAGGGAATGCTTGACTGAAGCCTGAGACAGGAAGCCAGAAACTCCATCTTGTGGTCTCCCTTTGCGGGCTGAGAGAAGATGCTGGGTGCATCTCCGACTAGCAACCAGGCTCCAAGGATTACATCCCAGACTCTCCTCTTTTTATTGCTGGCCCTTTGAGACAGGATTTCCCCGTATAACAGCTCTGATTGATCTGGAAACTTTCTCTGAAGACCAGGCTGGCCTTGAACTCACAGAGATCCGCCTGTCTCTGCTTCCTGAGTGCTGAACAGTCTAGACTTTTAAAGAGATGGAGGTCTGATATGCTAGACAGGACTAGCGGGTGCATATTCGGCAGTGTATGTCCTGCCAGGGAATGGCAACTGTTCACTCCTAACATGAAGCTCTATATCTTACATGAAGCTGCGACTTCATTTGGTCCTCCCCACCATCATGTAGTCAGTACCTGATGTGTACCAGGTTATGTTTTAATAGCCAGGAACACAAAATAAAATTTAAAAAAAGAGGACCACAGCATTTCCTTTCATGGTGGTTACATTCTGACTGGAAAATAGACAATAAAACCATCTTACAGTGGTTAATACTCATAGAGAAATGAAGCATAAAAGTAGTACAGTGTGGAAGGGAGTGTATGTGTGTGTGTGTATGTTTGTGTATGTGAGCAAGTATGTGTATGAGTGTGTAGGTGTGTCAGTGTGTATAGGAACATGTATTTGCAAGTGTATGTGTATGAGCGTGTAGGTTTGTGAGTGTGTGTGTGAGCATGTATGTGCAAGTGTGTGTGTATGTGTAGGTGTGAGTGTGTGTATGAGCATGTATGTGCAAGTGTGTGTGTATGAGTGTGTAGGTGTGTGAGTGTGTGTATGAGCATGTATTTGCAAGTGTGTATGTATGAGCGTGTAGGTTTGTGAGTGTGTGTATGAGCATGTATGTGCAAGTGTGTGTGTCTGAGTGTGTAGGTTTGTGAGTGTGTGTATGAGCATGTATGTGCTAGTGTGTGTATGAGTGTTGGTGTGTGAGTGTGTGTATGAGCATGTATGTGCAAGCGTGTGTGTAGGAGTGGATGTGTGTGGATGTGTGTGTTGTTATTGGGGTAGTAATGGAAGGTTTTTCTACAGTGCTAAAGAAAGTGAGGGAATGAGCTCCAGACTATATTAAGATTGGATCTCTTTCTCCCATCTTCCAACATGAGGTTGCTTACGATGAAAGGGAACCGTGGTCTGATCCTGATGAAGGAAGTGAGTTGGCTGTAGTTCTTAGTTCACTTCTCATAAACAGGCGATTTGCAGAAAAGCGCTTTCATTAGGAATGACCTAAGGACCAGCTTAGCTATCACCCTGGAATGCGGCTTTGCTTGGCCCGATATGTTGCGCCACGCACAACCGGATCTGAGATGGAAACGGGTTGCCTTCCATCCCTCTGTCTATTTCTGTGCAGGAGAAAAGAGTTAGAAACTTTTCCTAAGAGGACCTTAAAAATAGGTTACAGTCTCAGCCAGGTTGCTTAGGAAAGGTCTGGCCTGAAGGCAGAGGAACCTCACAAAGCCTCATTACAGCCCGGAGTCTCTGCAATAGGCTGAGCTTCTCCACACAATCTCAAATTCCTTTACTAACCCAGGAGGAAGTCCCTTACGCTGCCACCCTTCCGGTTCTTCATGAATCAAGCGCAGAGACAATCCTGGCCACCATCTACCCGAGAAGTGCTGGAGAACTGTCGTCTGTCATAGATCCCGAGCAGCGTCATTAGAGCAACGCCGGAGGAGACATGTCCTGAGAGGTGGTGTGTGAGGCTGATGGCCACCTCGCTACAGACCCTATTTTCTGAAATGCCTCCCTGGTTTCTTTCAAGGGAGATTGTTATCTGTTTCTCTAAACAACTCGCTCGGTTGCTGTGCCACTCACGGGAAGGACGAGTTATGAGGCTCTGAACCAGGGTGCTGATGGGAGAAACAGAACTGAGACCAAGGGCCTGTCTCAGCCTCGTGGAGTATAGAGTTTATGTTTTATTTAATGAGTACCTGACACTGAGAAATGGGCTGCTGTCTCGCTTTCTAGTGGAAGGCTGGGGAGAATGAGTCAGAGGAGCACAGAGGGGAACTGGAAGTGCAGGAGACGGACCCTGTCCTCTCGTTACCAAGTTTATAATCTTCGATCGTTCTCACCTGTTTAAATGCCACATCCCCTGGCTCCTGAGGACCGGCGCTTGTGTCACATGGAGTAAATACTCGATCACTGTTGTGGGCTTGTTAGTGAGTGGTCTTGGTGGGGGATAGATTGGAGGAGACAGACAGGGGCGAATAGTTCTGATGATCCCATGCTTGTACCGACACAGGGTATCTCATGTGGTAGGTTCTTTTCGTGTCTTGATGTATTTCAAACGAACTTTCACACAAAGGAACCCAATAGCAGTATATCTCTTGAATCTCATTCTGATTATGATAATGGCGTTCTCACAGTGTCTATTTAATGAGAGTAGGGCACAGCACAGACCACCTTGGAAGCCGTCTCGGCTTAGGGATGTGAAAAGTGTTTAGCTTTCAGGACCTGGGGTCATCGCTCAGTTGGTAAAGGACTTGCCTCGTAAGCACAAGGATCAGAGTTTGACCCCTGTTAGGAAAGCGAGCTGTGTTGGTACCTGTAATCTCAGTGCTGGGCGGCAAAGAAGGGGGATTCCCAGGACTTGCTGGCCAGCCAGCCAAGCTTACTTCGTGGGTTCTAGGCCTCTGGAGAGACTGTCTTAGAGGACAAGGTGATAGCATATAAGTAATGTCAGCAGAGGTTGGCCCTTAGTCACCATACACACACACACACACACACACACACACCCTGCACACACTTCTGCACACACGTGAACACACATACACCACCTCACTGTAGACACTGGGTAGGTCAGGTCTGAATCTTGGGTCGGCATTTGCAAGTTCTCCTGCTATGGATAAATCACTTTGCTTCTGAGTAGAGTCTTCCAGTTGATTCATGAGGAGAAATGGAGGTAATGATTCTTCTCACAGTGGACCGTGGTGACAGAAAGTCTTTGGCACAGGATACAAGCTCAACAAATGTCCTTTCACCCCATCCTTTCTCCCTTCTCAGTGCTTTAGCTCACCCACTGAGGCTGAAGGGCAGGCGGCATTGAGAAGCTGGCCAGGTCTGATGAAGAATCGAGCCGTCCCGCATGCTGTTTCCACGCTTTGCCCAGGATCTGATGACTCACCCACTGCTTTGAAGGCAGCGATAGTGTTTCTGATTCTGTCCTGGGATGGCCTCGAGGATGTCCCCCAGTTGGACCTTAGAAGCAACATCATACTGTATCTCCATTGCTGTCAACTTACTTTGGATTCTGGGTTTCCTCTGAGTGCTGCAGTTCAACATTTCATGCTAAGTTCCTTTCTGTTTCGGCAAAAGCTTGAGGTAATTGATTGATTTTCTAGAAGCTGGCAAGTGGGAGGAGAGAAAACCTTCCTCATGGTTTATGGGGAAGCTAGACTTGTTTTCCCACAGAAGCGATAAAAATATCATTTTCTTAAACTGGCCCTGATATGACCATCTCTGACGATTTCCAACAAATGATAGAGGCTTAAAAACACAGGGAACAGGTCCATCTGCTGTAGGACAACCTGGAATTCCTCGTTCTGACCCTGAGGTTGGGGTGGGGTTGCTGTCTGCTTTGATGCTTGTTTATGGTTCTACCCTGGCCAGGTTCCTAAAAAGTCGTCTTGAAGGACCCCAACTCGTTTTAGCCACAGTTATACCGTTTTGCAAAGGTTCACAAATAACAAGCTCAGGGCCTCCGGAATGCTGAACAAATAACAAGCTCAGGGCCTCCGGAATGCTGAACAAATAACAAACTCAGTTCAGGGCCTCCGGAATGCTGAGCAAAGATACCTGAGGTTAGAGCAAGGACAGCCTTATCTGGCTGCAGGACAGGGGATTTATGGACTAAGTAGGAAAAAAAGACTTCAAGGGATGAAGAGAAGATTGCGAGGCCTGAGTCACGTATAAAGCGGGGCTCGTCACGAGTCAGGGGCTGTGTAATCAGACATCTGGTCGCCAGCCAGGGAAGGGGGACAGGATAAGGGGAACAGTAAATCGCTGAGTAGTCCCCTCATTGTTATTTAGGTTAAGAATTTACCACCCCGCATCTTGCTTCTGTAAACCTCGCTTTTGCTCTCCTATAAAAACCCCTCGCTCCAGCCGAACGGGGCGCAAGTCCTCCGAGAGACTTTGTCGCCCCAGGTACCTGCGTATCCAATAAACCTCTTGCTGATTGCATCCGGCCGCGTGGTTTCGACTGATCTTTGGGCACGGGGTCTCTCCCGAAGGAAGACGCCCACGGGAGTCTTTCAGTCTTTGGAAAGATAGTTATTCATTTAGGATACTGAAGTTTCTTTGTGTTCTCTTAAACTAGTCTTGTTCTCCTGTGGAGACTGTGGGTTTCATCATGGCCAAGTTCGGCATTATTGATTTTCCTGAGAAACCACATAGGCCATTACATAAAGCTTGTGGTCTATTAAGGTAAGTGTCTCCCTGCTAACATCTGAGCATACACTATACTTATATTTCTTTATCAGGACAAATGCTAACACAATGACTTATCTATGGTTTTCAGGAGTGTTGGTGGTCCGGAATCTCCACTGTGCTCGCCTTTATATTTCTTAGTGAGATTTTCCCACTGGTTTGTTGCAACCAGATTGATGCATTTCTTAGCATGTGCTCCTGGGGTCAGTGAGGGATTGTCCTGGGAACTTTCCACCTAGATTTGAACAAACAAGCTAAGGAGTCTACCAAAGCCCTGTTTGTGGAACCAGTGAGCCCACTGGGGTTATAAGCAGGAGTACAGGGCCGAAGAGTTCCTTCCTAAAAGGCAGCTGCAGGGCCAGAGAGATTTTTTTGACATGTAAAAGGGCTTGTCTCCAAGTCTGTCAACCTGGGCTTGATCCCTGGGACGCACATGGTAGGAGAGAGCCGCCCCTTGCAGGTTGTTGTGCAAAATAAATAAATACAACCTGGAGGCATGCCTCACAGAAGAGTCCACACCAGCACGCAGCAGGGGTGAGGACTCACGGAAGTTGCGTTCCTGGAGCTAACACACACACATCTCCTCTCCCCCTCCCCCATGGTGTGTGGGCAGCTTGACTGGTGACAGTCTCCTGCGGGCAGCACCCGCCCACTGGAGTCTCCTCTCTTACTGGCAGTTGTTTGCTGTTTATTGCTCTTAGAGCCTTGGGAGAGGTCTTGTGAATCTGCAGGTGTCAGCGTTTCCTGTCCCTGTGAGGTTCATTTACTTCTAGAGGGGCTGGAGCCTCCTTGCTCCCTCTGGAAGGGGGTGTTTCAACTCACAGCAGGGGCCATTCTCCTGCTCCAGTAGCACCCCAGCTTGGCTGGGGAGGAATGATTGATTTCTGAATTACCCTTCTTGAACTCCACACTCCCCAATTAACATCATCCTTCCAAAAAGTTCCCTGGGAGGTAAAAGCTGAATTCTGTGATGCCACACACACTGCTGAGTGATTGTCTGAACCGTTTTGGGGGGGAGCCTTCCCTTTGGTACCGCTTTCAGATGCAAAACACAAGCCTCAAAGACTTCAAAACCTAAGAGCAGCTGCGTGGCTATCTTTGAAAACCAGTGCTGTTGAAATAAATGAGCAGTATTTTTCTCTTTTTAAAAAAATCAGCCTCATTACTTTATGGTCAAAGCCAACATGGATGGAAAACCATAATTATAAGCACATCCTAAGCATGGACCCAGTGACAGCTGTTGGTAGGGTTTCCTGACCTAATCTTCTATCTATCTATCTATCTATCTATCTATCTATCTATCTATCTATCT